CTAAGCCTTTAAAACTTTTGCACGTGGAGAACATGAAACAAAATATTTTTTTTGGTTTTATTTATACTCATGAATAACTAAAAAATCATAAATTACTAAATGAATACCATAGAATTCTACTATAAATTAACAAGCTTAGTAACTAAGCTGTATTTGGGTATAAAAAATATGAAATTTCGAACAGACTAAAGAAACAACCTACCTCATTGAAATCTCGATTCAAAAGAAAAAATGGTGCTAGGTACATTAGAAAGGCTGAGAAAATCACTAAGGCGACATTCTGTGCTTCTGATTGGTTATTCATGTCATATATAGAAGTAAGTGTATATAAGGGAGCATTTCCAAAAATGGAAAGAGGTGAGTGGGGTGCCACTGTGTTTGCTTTATTACATAAACAATATCTTAGCAAATAGAAAAGATAAGTCCTTCTTATTTTATATTCTAGCTTGTCATTATCAGTAATTTGTGTTTCTAATTCATATGAAACTACAGACTTAATATTTAGACTTCACAAACACCTAATTTGAACCAGTGCTGCAATCAACATACCATGTGACACACAAAAATCGATGTTTGTGTTTGTTAATATTTACTTTTAAATTAACAAATTGAATAATGTATAGTTCTAAAATTTGAATTATAATCTACAGTTTGATGCCAAACTTATTGATATAAATTCATGAAATAGTAGTTCAATAAAATTTTGAATGTGAGCTAACAAATGAGATGACATGGCCTTTCACCTGTGACCCGTATCAAAAGGATTAATACCAAATAAACTACTGAAAGATTAGCATGAGGTATCTGAACAATAATGTTTGAGTCAATATGAAAAATTAGACTTTAAATCCCAGAAGTTACTATTTTTCCCCACAAAAAGATTTTTGTAAGTTAATGCTGTTAACAAAATCTTCAAGTTTTTCTAAGAATATTTAATGTTTTCATAAAACATCTTACCAAGAAATACTGGACTGTTCACTGCATAAGTTAGTAGGTTCAGTAATTATGAACTAATTCAAAATACTATATATTTTATTCAAACTTTTTTGTTCAAATCTAGCTTCAAAAACTTTGACATAACTCTTAACACTCTCAGAAATGAGGAAATACATTTTTTCTATATATATACACACACGTGACAATATACTTAAGTTATTTTTTCTTTAGGCTATAGGATTATATATATATATATATATGTACATTACCTTAAGTATTTTTGTGTTTCCTGAATACACAGTTGGAATTTTAAGTGAGAGACAAGAAGTTCTATCAAAGTGAACCAGCTTTACACTACTTTACACATGTACAGTAATACTGACTGAATATATAATTACAATACAGCTTAGAAGTTTGTGAGAAAATTAAGGAAATATACTAGAATGAAAAAAAGCTTATTAAACATCTCTTACATTATCCTTTAAGTTGGGGTCTGCTCCCTGATCTACTAGCAACCTTACAACTACAGGTTTGCTGTGTTCTGTTGCCCAAATGACTGGAGTCCAACCTCCGTCATCCTGTAATATTGAAATTTAATTTAAAAAATAAAATTCTTGGTTTCTAGAACTTAAATTACGTAAAAAAAAAAAAAATCTGTTTTCTTTTAGAAATGAATATTTTTAACTGCAGACAAAATTTGAATAATATTGATTAACAATTAAATTTCATGTACTCTAATAAAATATAAATATATATTACACATACAATAATTATACTTTTGATCTACATAACTTATATACAATTTTGCTCTTAGGAGACCACTGTGTTGTGTCTACTGTTATAATTCAAAAGACATAATAAAAACATTTTCATAGTTTTTGTCATATGTACAAAATATGCATAATTTAAAATAGCATATTTTTAACCTAATAATACAAATCTTGACTTTAAAACCGGCTTGTGTTACTGATACCAACATATTTTGTGTAGATTTTTTTTTTTTACTATTTTTATACCTTACTATGTTTCTCAAAAATATTAAACAAAATAGTTAATCCTAGTTCAGTATGTCTTTGGGGTATAAAAATTAGTGCATATTTAGTTTTAACAATACACACATTTAATACATATCCATAATCTATCAAGCATATATCTAAAGTAAAAATTATCAACAATCTCAAAGTTATCATCTTAATTATATTTTTCCCCCTTAATTGTAAAATAATTTTTCACCTGAATATTGACATTAATTCTCCCCGTGTCCAATAACATTTCACATATTTCCACACTGCCGCATCTAGCAGCCAAATGAAGAGCTGTCATTCCATCTTCTCCCTAAATAAGAGATGGCACAAACAAATACTGTTTACAAGCTGCTTACTCAAAAAGCAGTGTAAACATAATATTCTGGAAGAGATAATAAATAATACTATCTTTTAAATGTAACTTGTTTATGAAAAAAAAAATAAGTCACATTACTATTAAAAATCTGTTGTCTTGTATAATTGAAGAGGTGGGGGGAGAATATTGTGTTTCTATAGTTTTATAACAAAAAGAAGTATCTAAATCTACAAAAAAATTCTAAATACAAACTAAATCTATTACAAGTCTGTTATAATTTCAAAGCTTTGACAAAGATATATGAGGCTTTATACACAACAAGCTTGATCTCATGATCAAATATTAAACATTTATGTACAGTTACATACACTCACTTAGAAAAATGGATAGCTGTTAGTTACATCTTGTACTACAGCAAAAATAAAACTTATAAATACACAGTCAAGTCTAAACTACAAAAATTATATTTTTATCCATCACTTACAAGATATTTGACAATGGACTAATAGTTAATAATGGCTGGAGACGGCTTGAATGGGTAATGAAGAAAAACTTTAATATAAGTTTAACATAACAGCAAATGTACAACGTTTCGACAAGGTTTTGTCATCATCAAAGGTTTTGTCACTAATAGTTCATCTTACAAGAACTACAATTAAGTTGAACACAAATATTCAATTACGTAAGTCTAGGTTCTTATTCTAACTAACAGTAAACAAGAAAAAAGTCATAACTTTACATTGGGAGTAACATTTCAAGTTGAACTAAATATAAAATGTTATTATTCACATTGGTATCTACTGCATCCAAGATATCCAATAAATGGAATTAATATTCGGGTGGATCACATACAATCACAGTAACACAGTGTTTCTAGTTTACACTGTTATACATCTTCTGAAATTTTCTACAAACAAAATACAGTCATAAATTTTAATTCTACTCAGTGCCAGCTTATATATTTCTTTAAAAATTTGGAAAAGTTGCATACCACAGTTAAACATTTCATCTTTGAGAATCCCATAAAACTTACAAATTAACTCGTAACCATTTTGTGCTTGTTATAGTTTTCATGCTATAACTTTTTAATTAGTAAGCATATGTTAAAGAAATTTGGCAGATTATCAGTAAACATTACAATGATTTCATATGCAAAATTTCAAATTTTTTTTATTAAGTATTAAGGTTTGTTAAGCAATGTTTTTCTCGTGCCTTTTTTGTCTTTATACATTTTGCCAATCCAACATGCAAAGTAGTTTTCATTTTAAGATTAAAAATACTTTTATGCAACAGAAAATTTTCAAATTTCACATGCAAAATCTTTATAATATCTAGATAGTTAACAAACATTTCTTAAGAAAAAACTTTATATTTCATCTGTTATTTTCGGCTTTGGTAGATTGGACCGATCTTGTAACCACCATAAAATATTAGGAAATAAATTTTAATTATGCCTCTTTAATTCTAGAATGACAACAAATTATGACATGAAAACATAAATGTTTAGACTAAATAGCATAAATCTCATAACATTATACATTTATATATATATAATTTTTATTATATTGACTTTTCAGCCATGCCTGGCTAACAATACAGAAGTTACAATGATGCAGCACACGTGCACTCATGTTACCATAACCAATAATATAAAACTGACCTTTAGTCTTTACAAAGTGACCTGTCTTGGTTGTGTTTTAGTAGACTAGTATTTTTTTAAATGCCATCAAATTTCAATTATTATACATTATATATGTATATAGATTATTATTATTTACAAATAAGTTCTTAAACTTATTATTTTTAAAACATAGAACAGTAAATAGAAAAGTAAAGGAAACAATTATCTTGTAGTTACAACCTTTGTACTCAGATGCTGCTTGATCTAGGTTGCTAAACCTTTTAAAATTTTGCACGCAGAGGATATGAAACAAAATAATTTATTTTA